GCATTTAAAAAACTTTCAATTTAGGTTCACTCATATGGAAAAGATAAATCATCCCTATGTGAGAGGAAAAATTATTTACAACCAGGTTCGTTAACAAACATATTTTGTTTGCTTACCTATTTCGCCTGTTACTTAAACATATCTATATATATTTGAATATATGTATATTCGCTGAAATATTCCCATCATATTAAAACACAATTATATGAACGAAGAATATTTTTTTCAATAATTTCAAATCAGGTTCTACAATTATAAATCCAAATGAATAATCCATAAGAAATTGAACAAGTTCATTATAAATGACGATAATCTGATCATCGCAAAAACTGATGAAGGAACAAGAATTGTTGTGCTTAACAGAATAGATTACATTGATAAGATGAACAATATCTTTAACGATCAACACAAAATTTCAGAAACTGAATACAGTATGTTAAAAAGAACCGTAAATTTCTAAAAATGGTCTCCATGGAATATCCGGTTTATATATCTTCGGTAGTCCGTATAAATAATACTTGTATTCTCTCAGTTGATGACAACTACAATATCTTGATAATCATCATGTATTACCTTGAAAAACGACATATGTCAATAGATTTGTCATATTTTCATTTAGAAAGATAACCCCTATGCCAGAAGTTGCATATAAAGAAAAAAAGATGGATTGTGTGATTGTACTATGAAAGCATGTTGACTTCATACACTAAAGCCAAATCTCATCTTATCGGAATGTATACACCAGTAGAATGTTAATCTATGAAAATAAAACAACTTTTACATCTATAAATTCACTGTGACATTTAATCAATATAGATGTGTTTAAATATTTATCGATTTTCTACAGATTCACCACCATACGCAATTCTGGATTATAGGGGTACTGATTCAGCTTGTTTTATGGACGAAACAATTAAATTCGTTAAAAGATCAAAATTATACCCTGCTAAAAATACACCAATGTGTCATAAAGTAAGTTCTATTTTAAAAATTCGATAATTTATATTGATGGACTTAGCATGTTTCATATTAAAATACATTTGGTCATAAGCAACGAAAGTATCAAGGAGAATGAAAATCAAAATCATTTCGATATGTAATATTCCCACAATGTATCGCTCAATAAATGTGTTGAATTGAAGAGATTATTACGTACTTTTTTGAGAATACGTTAATTAAAAACGACGGAATGAGTTCACTTATATTTTATTAAAATATTATTCAAACACATGGATACTGGAAAAAATAGATACCATGATATTTATGCATCACACAAAGAAATAAGATTGTGGTGAGGTAGAGAGAGGAGGGTGAGTATATTGAAAAAGGAACAACAGATGAATGAAAACAAGTAGATGAGGGTTGAAACGCCATGGAATCAATTGTAGAATCATAGAATTTCAAAAGACGTATGCAAAGATGATTCTTTTTTGAATAAAATTCTTCAACTTATAAAAATAAAAGAGGGAAAACTACTTTAGGACCACCACTGTTTGTAACTTCCGACTAATAGGAGACTCAATTCGAAGCAAAATTTGCAAAGTGTGAAAATCCACAATTATTGTCAACTTTGTGAGCAGTAGGTATACATCGAAGTATCACATCTACTTTTAAGGTGACCGTCAAACTTTACTGTTTATACATGAGAGGTTTTGCGAAAGCGAATGTGCTTTCACTCGCCAATTTCAAGGTGCCATGTTTGTGCAACCGATGCTTACCTATGTTTTGCGATTTATCGATAGACTTTATTAGATTATTTTAAGCTGCTTAATTCCTAACAGAAACATTAACAGTTGGTAGCAATAATAAACAGTTATTCATATTTTGTGTGAAGAAGTCCTGGTTCAAGTCGATTGGACAGGTAGATTCATAAATATCAAATACAATAATTTCACTTCTATGAGCTGAGGCCGAATATCGTCAACACTTTTCAAATCCATTGTGTTTAGTCTTACTATTTCATAAGTAGTCTTTGAGATGGTGTTAAATTCGGGTTCACGGTTATCAATTGGAACTGAAATAATTCAGCAATCATTCAACAAGTCAAAAGTGAAAGTAAACACATTAACTCGTACGTTGACAGACAAGTTAACTGCTGAGTATAACAATATGCTTAGGCTTAAACCTAGTGTGCAAATTCTATGGTGAAATTCTATTTGTTAAGTGGTACGGTAAAGATATTTTCTTGGCCAGTTTGACAGACTATTTTCTGAAAATTGATTTCTCTTGTTGACATCTGTTCAATTTAAAAATTTATTGTCTACTGATTGTTCCTCAACTTAAACACAAACACTGTCAGTTTCAATGTTCGATAAATTCTGGTGTTGAAGTAATATTTGGCGGACATGCGTTTCAGTGTCCTGTTGAAGGTGGGATAATACATATAGAGCAACAATTGAAAAATGGAAATGTTTCTATCGATATACAATGTTCAAAGTGCACGTCATTGTGTAAGGTGAGTTGAATTGGTTTTTCAATGTCCATTACACTAAATAATATTAATGAAAACAGGTAAATCGTTCTGCTTTCATAACACAGATTTAGGATAAGCTGGCGGAATTCATTGAAGTAAGTATGTACATTGTAGTGTGACTAGCGTTGAAAATCTATGGAGATTGAATATTCGTTCGAAGTGTATGGAAATTTTACACAAACATTACTCATTGTTCAAATTTATCTTGTCATATGATCAGATACATTTCGCAGTACAATTGATCGGTAATCAAGAAGACATGGAAAAAAAGAGCGACAGTAGGATGTAAATTGGTGTAGGATCAAGTCACTTTGAAATAATAAAAGATTGCAATCGTGGTAGATAAAGACATTATTGAACATCATTTATGTGACATATTTCTACAAGATTTACTTCATAAGAGACCGATATCTGCCAATATTACGTATACCTCGTTTTGAGTTCATGTTTTCATCTATCGCTGAACTCCTTTGTAACTTCATCTATGACTCTACTTCATCTTCAAAGTCAGTTTTTTATGCCTGCTCTAATCTGCTCTTACCATTTGCAACCGTGGAAAAATAAATTGTGTGTTGTCACTGTATATTGAATTGGAATCGATAAATGATGTTCAACACACATATTATGTTTATTAAAAGCGAGAAATATATGTTCAAATAACTCATGGGAATACTCAACTGACAACTTCATTTACATTTCTAATTGGATCCCAAAAGAAAACCATATCCCGATATGCATTCACTGACAGGAATATACCAGCCTAATCAAATGGATGTTTTTTTTTCAAAACTCAAATGGAACAGCACGAAAATAATTAATTATTGTAAATCATAATCGGATGTTACAATGTCAAATTCTCACATCCAATAAAAGCTTTTCATTCTATTTTCATTGGAATGAATCAGATTACAAAGTAGCACCATTTACAGCAAATTAAATCAATATTACTCGTGACAAAACGTCTGCTCACTTTCAGTTGGGCACACACTATCGAAAACGGGTACACAAATCACTAATTGTCAAATATTTTTCACATCCATAAGTTTCCAAAAAAGGGTGATAGGGGATCATACGTGCAGGGAAATTAAGGTCAAACATAATTATAAGTAAATGGTTGTGGAGGTTGTGGAGATTAAATTGAAGTCATGAATAGGTGGACAGTTCAACAGCAAGACTAAATGGCTGTCATGTGCTCCCAGGTTTTTAATGATAGTCCAGTTTATATCGACTCATGAATTCAACTACAACATCATTATAATTCTATTGATTTCAGATCATCAACAAGTTTGCGTATTGAACGCCTGAAAATATGATAGACTTTCAATTCACATGCTTATTGTCCAAATGACAGAACAACAACCACATTTATTGATGTGTTTTCATGAAATAAAATTTCATGCAAATAACCATCAATAATGACCAAATTATTAAAAAGAATTTGTCTAAAAATTATTAATAGAGTTATTTCCAATTCACTTGCATAAGTTGCCTTGTCCTGAAGGGGAAAACCTGAAGCTCAGTATGTTGCTGAGTCACATGATTACAATATCATCATTCTTGCCTCCTATCAAGCAGTGATGGGGATATGTGTCGTGTGTAAATGAGATAAAACTAGCGCTTTCACAGGGTTTGAGTTTGTTTTATTTAATAGATTGAACAAAAGATTCAATGACGTAGATTTTGCATGCGTGCCACAGTGATCTTCAGAATTTTATTGGTAAGCCTGTAAATACATTGGCCGATATAATTTTCCATCTAAAGATTACAATCGAGTAACATGTCTGAAATGAGAATAATGTTTTAAGGGTATGAAATTCAATTTAAATTCCCTAATTCTCCTAACCTTCACATGTACTCTCTACTCACCAATCATAAACGTCATTTCAACTGGCCAATGAAACGCATATTGAGGATAGACTTAGCAAATGCTTGGACAAAATATCGTCAATCCACCTAATTTCGTCTGGTTCTCGTTAGTTGCTTACAACCTTTGGATATAAATAACTTAAGTGGTAGAGTTTATTTAGACGTTTTTTTGAAGACATATCAGTATATTATGGCAAAATCGGTAGCACACTGAGCTTGTAGAAGGCTTTATATGAAAGAGACTAGACATTTCACTGAAACATGATTTCTGACTGTTTGATATCTGTATTTCTGAAAGAGATTTACTGGCGCAACTCTTCATGCTTAATTATTTTGCTTTTTCAGGATAAATGTCCAAAATGAAGGAGAATGAAATAGAGCAAACAATCTTTTTGTTATTGTTGAAAGAGAAATTCATTCTTTGATTTGAATAATGAACATTAATTGCAAATTGTTTTAACTTGATTTCGCATGTATAATTTGACCATGGTAAAATATGTATTGCTTGATAAATATAAACTGTTTCAGTGTTTATTTTGAGACATTCTTATGATGAAACTTGTATGAGTAAGACTATGTTAGTGCATTGATTGACTAAACTTTCACCTCGATAACCGTTATAATACAAATGTTAACGGTGCATGAAATCAGAATGCAAAGAGAAGTCGCAACTACTGTTTATTATAAATAAGTAATATATTTGTAATATCTCAATGAGTAGAAAAATTAGATTTTCTGATGTTTCGTGACTCAGTGTAAGCCACTTGTACAAAGAATAAATTATCAAATTAACTATAATCCAAGTTTAATTAGTACAACGGAAAAATCCAAGAATAATTAGGTGATCAATCAAAAACAGGTATGAATAAATCAATGTCACGTCATTTCATTGCGGTCAAGGTGATTCATAAGTGACATGGATGTAATTTTTATTTGTATGTGTCCACTGTAAATGATGAAAAATGTGTGACCTTTGTAATGACAAAGCATAGAGTTAATTTGTAATGTAATGGTGTGAAATTGTAAATAATATTAGACTGATTGACTAGGATAGATAGTCCAAGTAGGATGCATAGTAAGGCCTTTCTTTTCTATTGAGGGCAGTGGGATTAAGCATTATGTGGAAAGCTTCAGCTACTCTTCTTTCTTCGTGATTGGAAAAACCTTTCTGTAGTATTTTCATGTTTCTGAAATCAGTTTGAAGATTATGGAAAATGACATGAACCGGTATTGCTGATTTAATTTGAAGTCTGTCTAGTTCTACAGGATTATTAGGTGGTTTCTTTGTTTACCTTGTATGTTCTTTGGCGCGAGTCATGATTTCGCTAGATCACTCTCTAATATAGAAGGCATCACAGTCGACACAACCTAATTTGTAGACGCATTTCTGTGTAGACATGAATGATTACTTTTCTTTAAATGAACTAAAGTATTTTCAAGAGTGTTCGTTGTTTTGTAAAATACTTTAAATCTGTGTTGTTTTAAGATTATTTGGAGTTCTACAGTTGTGCCATGACGGCATGGTAAAACTGCAGTACCAATCCATGGCATTTCATTCGAATCATTGTTATCATTACGTGGTGAATGGTCTTGTTTTAATATATTTCTGATAATCTTCATAGGAAAATTATCAAAATGTAAGATGCTGATTATATTCTATTGTTCTTTTAGTTTGTCCTGTCGTCTTCTCCTTTCACTAGTGCTCTTTTGAATACGTTGACGAAGCGCTCTATCTGTCCATTTAATTGAGGGTAAAATGTAGGTGAGCGTATGAGCACAATTCCATCCTTGTTCTGTAAGTCCTTCGATAATTCTGTGGTGAATTGTAAGACAATCGGTCACCGAAATTGCTGGCTGTGCTATTCGCCATGGCATAGATTTATATGCATTTTGTGAATGTGTCCACCATGACTAGAAACATTCTTTCTTGTATTGGGTCGACAGAATTTGAGTCCAGCATCTACCAATATCTATTAGGTTTTTCTTAATTATGAGGTTCACACTTCTTTGGACTCTTAGCTGCCCACAGGCATGACGAATAATTGTGGCATCCACTTTCGATATATCGGTCCAATGTAGGCCAGTAAGCATAGCTTCGAGCTAACACTTTCATCTTATTGATGTCAGGATGGCCACTGTGAGATTGTTCCAGAAGCTTCTGGCGTAATGTTTTCGGAACAACAATTCTGTCACCAAACGTTATTCATGAATCGACCATTATCAGTGAGTCTTGCCAGCGAAAACATTGTAAAATTGATTTTTCAAAATGACGGTTCGGTTACTTGGTGAGAAGATAAGCACTAACTTTCCTCAACGTCTTGTCATTTCCCGTGGCTTTTTTGATACTTTCGAAAGTAACTGATTAACCATCGACTGAGTCTTCAAATACTCGATATACTTCTGCTTCCGCCTCCATTAATGTCACCAAGGTATCATCTTCTTGTTCTACACGTGGACCAATCAGTTTACACAAATCGTCTGCTTGTCCAAAATCAGTAGTAGGCTGGTACTTGATCTTGAAGTCAAGATTCGAGTTCGCTTGTCAGCATCCTTCAGTGACCGCAGGCTACAGACAAATTCTAGGCATTTAAACTGGTCTTCTATCGTGGAAGACAATGTGGACCTCTCACATTTTTGGTTCACAATTCCTGTATGCCTCACCCAGTTATCTCCGTTTTGTTTCGTTATCTACATACTTAAATTTAAAGTCACAACTCAAGAATGTAGGTCTTCACCTTTAAAGCTCGTTTGCCGTGTAGACCGGAATTTCTTTATTCAATCTGATAACGCCAACCAATGGTTAACGGTCAGTTAATAGAGTGAACTGGCGTCCAAATATCATCTTGTGAAACTTTTTTACAGCAAAGCCAATAGACAAGGCTTTCTTTTCGATCTGATTGTAGCTAGTTAATGTTCAAGCCTAATGACTTTCTCAGATCCGTCTGGCATGATATGACAAAATAACCGCACCAATGACGTAGTTTGAAGCATCTGATGCTAATGCAATGGGTAATAATGTAACGTGATGGGTGATCAACAGATCCAAGGCTAGTATTTTCTTTATTTCCTCGGAAGCGACTTGGCAGTTTGCAAACCAATCCAATTTGAGACTCTTCGCCAGAAAGTTATTTTGGGGAATGTAGGTGATTAATGTTGAGAATAATAGCTCCATAATGAACGAAGAATTTCAAAAACGATTGCGGTGTGAGGTCGTCCGTCTGTCCAAGCATAGTTTTCACTGTCTGAGCATTCTCTATATCTGGTCTTCTGCCATCTTTGTTCAGTACAAATCCGAGGTACCTTACCTTTTGAATACAAAAGTTACATTTTTCTGCAAGGCGTCGAAGTCCATATTCGGCTATTCGCAACAGCACTAGATGAAGCTTCTTCTCTAAGCCTATTTTTTCTACTCCCATCATTATTTTATAATGCAGATAAGGTGAAGCACCTGGGAAACCCTGTACCATGGAATCCATTACTTGCTGCAATATGGATGAGGCCGTCTTGACCCCGAAGGGTAGTAGGTTATACTGGAATTGATATTTGTGTGTGTTTGTTGTGAACAGAGTTCGGATTAGTCCAACTTTGCAAAGAGCTCATAAACATTCATCCTAGAAAAAGATCTTTAGGTAGAAGTAGTTGACACTGATGTGTTTCTATGGCTTCATTTAGCCCGGCTGAGTAATCGACACAAAAAATATTACTTTCTTCTCCGTAAACGTTTCGACAGTCACTTCACAATGAATCTCATCATCAGTGATTAGCATTCCTCTGGATGCTCTAAGTGCTGATTGATGAGTTGAGTATATTCAAGCTCTGCAAACCTTCTCGCTCGTTCTCCTGCTTATAAGTGTTATATCGGAGGCTGTCTAGCTGCAAGTGCAGGTAATATCCATTAATCTTGAGTGAAGCTTACTTTCTACGATTATGGGGGCCGGTTCTGTTAACAGCTACCGTCATTTCGGCTGTGCATGGCTTGAATGTTTAAGAATACACTTTAGGTTGACGGCGTTTCCCGGTTTTGCAATGATTTCATTTGTGTCCTTTTCTGGGTCACTTAGTACAATGATGTTTTTAAGCGAATAAAACCTTATAAAACGACAAACATCATATAACCGGCATAGTGTTTTGACGCTGTCATCACGATAATTCTACGTGCTGGCACCTTACAAATTTTTTTTGGTATGAAGGAACTAGTTGACGTTGTCCACCATCGAGGTGTCATGCTTCAAATTCACTAACACTTGACATTCAGTAGTCACTTCCTGCAGGGTCATGCAGTTTGGGCTTTCTCAAGATTCTAGTTCGGATGTCAGTATCCTCGGTTGAACAAATGATAAAGACTACTACCAGGCATTTAAACTGGAATTCTATCGTTGGAGACAATTTTAACTTCTCACATTCTCGGTTCACAATTCTTGCGTGTTTCGCCCGGCTATCTCCGGTTTGTTTCGTTATCTAAAATCATCAGTGAGGGATATTATTCAGAATTGACAGTTCTCTAAAAATTTGATTGAGGGTTTTAATCGATTCAACAGAACTGAAGACTCATGGAATTAAAAAGGAATAATATATAGTTGTAAAATCTCAGCAAATGAATTTGTAGTAAATCCAACGTTTCGCCTGGCAATCTGGTCCACGCTTTTTCAAGGAATTATAATCAAACATCAAAATTATCGAATATAAATAGGTACATGGTTCTTTGTTTCATTGTACACTGAATAGGTCATCCAATCAACGTCAATAATGTCTAAACTAGGTATGTGTATGATTGTGTAAGAGATGAATGATGTGAAATGATTAGCGTTAATATAACATATCGTACAGAATACGTAAGTGGTGAGAGGAGAAATTACATTCACACTATATATAGTCTCTTATCGGTGAATTTATAAGGAAAACATACAGTTTGTAATATATGATATCAATCATATCTGTCACAGCATGCATAAAATGAAGACAACTAAACAAAAATAAAAATAATAAAAAGGTGAAACTTGAAGAGTGTAACTTTTATAAACTGTATGTATGTGTCATTTTTATTGATCCGGTGAATTGTTTAACAAATTCCGAAAAGAAAAATCACTGGAATTAATGAAAGCAATTGTTATCATTTAGATAAAAATAATAGTAACAATAATTTTTAACCAAATTAAAGAGAAACAATGGTTAAAAGCCATCAATGAAGAGCTATTAGCACTAAGTACTAGCTCAAAAGTGCAAAACCTAATCCACCTTTACAATAAACGTGCTAAATCAACTCAAAATGTTGATATACTATGCATCCTGCATAGTAATAGTTGTATATATGACCAAGAGCTATTGCAGACCTTTTCAGGGGTAATTTTGCAAATGGCGAAGAATCCTTAAATGGCTCTGTTTCTAGAGTTATCTGTGTGACTGGTAACTCAATTAAATGTATCTCCTTCACATGTCTGAAAATTAGTAAGGTTATAAATAACCTCAAGGTTTCGAAAGGTCACGGAGCAGACGGGATTTCATCATTTCTCTACATATATGGTGGTTCAGATATCCAACTTCTTCTCCTTAAGCTGTTTACTCTCTCTATGGAATCAGGCTCTTATCCTGACCGTTGGAAAACCGCATACATCATACCACGTTACAAATCCGGAGATAAGACTGACATGAACAACTATCGGCCAATAAATATTACTCCAGTTATCTCTAGGATCATGGAAAAAATTATTAGTGACGAACTATCCAATTATTTGTTGACTGAACAATTTATTGATGATTCGCAACATTGATCCTGTATGTCATGTCACTTTGACTTTTTTAATTTAGTCTATTCGCTTCGTAGCCAAGGATATATAGTATAAGTGCTATACCTGGACAATTCTAAGGCCTTCCACATGGTCAACCACCAACTTCTCATAGGTGAACTCGCATTTTATGGGATCCAAACCTGTTACTAGCCTGGTTTGATTCCTTTCACAGCAATCGACATCAAATAGTTAAAATCAACTCTTCATTGTCGAATGCCGTCCCTGTTGAAAGTGGGGTAATTCAGGATAGTGTCTTATGTGTTTTGTTGCTATCAGATTTCAATAATGATATTTGTGAGTGTTTTAGTGAGGGTAAGTCAATTTTGTATGCAGACAATCTTAAGTTAGTTTAACCATTTTATCCACATGAGCTGAGCAACATTCAAAATTTTATCAGCTCGGAGCTTGACAATGTAGCATAGTGGTGCTCGAAATGGCAACTGAAGCTTAATACAGCCAAATGTGGATAATTATGCTTCGGTGTTACATCACTCAACCTCGATATTACCACAGATGGTGAAGTGTTATCTGGGTTACACACAGTAGTACATCTAGGACTTAGGTACTCCGACGACTTGTCGTTTACTGAACAGATAATGAAACTTTCTCAAGTTGTAGATAATTATCAATAATAATGTAATGATTTAATAGAAGCATCATAAGAAAGCTGTGATTGTCTAAATTGTTTCCTACATCAATTATATATTTAAAACTATCTTTCAATCAATGCATACAAAACTGCGATCATACTTGTTATGTTTCATTATTCTACATATTCGTAGTACTGTGCAAACAGCGCAAATTGAAAATCAGATATATTGAACATGAACACTAGACAGAGAACAAAATATTCTGCTGAATGAACAATCTACTTCGAAAATATACAGTATAAGTAAACTTACTGCCATCATTTTGTGACTGCAATGGATTCCATCCAGGTCAAATCCCTGAATTTTCTTGCAGTCAAAATGATAGATAAAAGCAAAGAGCACGGAACAACAAAACAATGATTGCAAGTAAGAGATTAAACATTTAAAGTTCCGATAATCTTACTTGTGGAGTAAGATACACTTACAGACTCTGGAATAATTTACCTCAAACTATGCGTATGTTAAACTCGCTTCTATTGTTTGTTCGCTCAATTAATGCCTTTTGCTCCTCTGAATATGCATTAAATGCTCTAGCACCTGTAAGTGTATCTTACTCCACAAGTGAGATTATCGGAACTTTAAATGTTTAACCTCTTCCTTGCTATCATTGTTTTGTTTTTCAGTGCTCTTTGCTTTTATCTTACTTTCTCAAGATGTAGATAATTATCAATAACTCGCTCTGGCACTGGAAATAACCTTACAGAACAACGTTCATAAATCATCAGGCTATCCACTTAAGAAAAAATGACAAGTTCCCTGGTGTTGAATTGGCTTGCCGTGATATATGCCATATATAAACTACTTATCAATTACTAAATCAGCAAACATGAAACTTTCTTATATTTCATGTTTGTTCTCTACATTAAATGTTGATTTTTATTTCAATCTGATCATGTCTGTAAGCTGGTGTGAATTCTATATTATTATCAGAATATATATATATATATATATATGTATATATATATGTATATATATATAATACGAAATAGATAAAAAGGTTAAGGAGTTCAGGTTTTTACTTATTAATGAATAGCTGTCATGGCACTGCTAATTGTATTCCATCCCTCCTAATAATATTGTTTGCATTAGCCCAAATGTATAGGGCTTCAGCTGTTTGTCTTTCGTCGTAAGCTTTGAAGTCTTTTCTTTCTGCATTTAAACTTCGACTTTTCAAAAAAGGGGAGGTGTTACATCCCGATGAGAATAATGAATAGTAACTATCGAAAACTATGTGTGGACAAATAATGTACGTTTACTTTCATTGTATAATTGTTAAGTAACTTAACTATTCATATTCGTGTTCCTCTTATTGTGGGATTTATTTTGACTTGTAAACCCAGTGTGTCTGAAATATGTGATTGATATGGCAGAGGCTGTTAACAGTGTTCTGGACTAAACAGGCAGGGTTGAGCGGGAAGCATGCACTGATAAGGACTCTAGACTGCTCGTACAGAATTTATGTTTTATTGGTCTGTCAAAACACCACTCTTCTATAATCGGTGGCATCATCATTCTTATAGGGACACAAAGGCAAAAGATGTAATAGAAGCATCATAAGAAAGTGTTATAACGTGTAAATTTTTGGCCTCTTATTATATATAGGTATATATATATATGTACAATGATACAGAAAATACGTACGAACAGTACTGGGTGCTATTCGGTCCTTCCTATCTGCTTAGCCCAGCCCGTTAAGTCTAGAACAAAATTAACAGCCTCAGCAATATGAATCATTATTCACAAGCATACTGAGTTATATATACTAACCAAACAGACCATATATATCAAAAATAGAAATATAACATTTGTATAGTAATTGGCCAATGTGTCTGTAGCTAGTGGGAAAAAATCAATAATAATGGTTTCAAGGTCAAAATAAAGGTTATGATAAGAGGAACACGGAAACGATTAGGTCACTTATTTAACAACCATCCAATAGGTAATAGACATATTATATTTGTCCATAAATAGACCTCATATTTATTTCACTTATTTAAAAATATCCAATAGGAATAGGCGTATTACATTTGTCCATAAATGGACTTCAGATTTATGATTCATAATTTACAAGGGGATATAACAGTCATTGAACAGTATTTTGTGCGAATATTACACTTCGAAATGATTTGAGTTTTATTTCTCCTTGATACCTTCGTTGTTCATCACCAACTGAATTTTAATATGAAACATTCAAACTCCATCAATATAAGTTATCGAATTTTTAAAATAGAACTTACTTTATGACACATTGGTGTTTTTTTAGCAGGGTATAATTTTGATCCGCTAACGTATTTAAATGTTTTGGCAATAAAACATGCTGAATCAGTACCCCTATAATCCAGAATTGCGTATGGTGGTGAATCTGTAGAAAATCAATAAATAGTTAAACACATCTATATTGATTAAATGTCACAGTAAATTTATAGAAGTAAAATTTGTTTTAACGCCATAGATTAACATTCTACTGGTGTATACATTCCGATAAGATGAGATTTGGCTTTAGTGTATGAAGTCAACATGCTTTCATAGTACAATCACACAATCCATCTTTTTTTCTTTATATGCAACTTCTGGCTTAGGGGTTATCTTTCTAAATGAAAATATGACAAGTCTGTTGACATATGTCGTTTTTCAAGGTAATACATGATGATTATCAAGATATTCTAGTTGTTATCAGTTGAAGGAATGCAAGTATTATTTAGCTAAACATTTTCCTACACTTTATGAGAGTGTATTTAGAATACATTTTGACTTATCCTGTACAAGTGTTATACGTTTATTATTGTTTCAACATGATATATAAACATGCATATTTAAATACAAATATGTTTTAATTAACAAGTGAAACAGGTGAATAGACTAAATATGTTTGTTAACGAACCTGGTTCTAAACCGCTTTCCTTCTCACTTAAGGTGATTTAACTTCATTATGTGGAAGAACGTAAATCGAGTATTTTTAAGTGCAAAAATATAGTGTTTCTGAAATGTTGGAGAACAATTGTAGCTCAGGTGGATGATTCTGGGCTCTGAGCTGGATTGTTTGGTAGTGGAGCTTTCATCGTCCCTCTGAACGACATCATCACCGCAAACGTTCACAGACGTCTACCCGACATTTGTGCTGATGATGTTATTCAGAAAGATGATAAAAGCTGCACCACTGAATTACTCATCACAGAGAACAAAACTTCATTGAAAAAATGTGTAAATTATCAAAAAATCACCCTTGTCACAACAAGATTTGATGTATGTTACTGAATGATTTGGAATAGGATTACAGCGACGATATTGAATGCTGATTCCATAAGAAACCATTATTAAGATAATCAGTGTTTTATAATTATTAATATTATGAATATGTGTTAAGTTATATCTCTGTAATTCAATGAACAACTATTCTCTTGATTTCTTTACAAGTATCAGGAACAACTAACTACTTTTCATAAAATGACAGATCCGATGATTATAAAAGTAATTCATTTAGATATTGTTGCACATATTACTTAAATCTCAATGACTGCAATACCTCAAAGAATAAAAAATAAAACTATTTATAACAAACATCTTCACGTATCAGTGTGTGAAAGACCATACAAATATATACACCTCTTATTTAAAATAAATACTGAGGAACCAGTGTAACAGTATGCTCGCGGATCACATCTAATAACCCTATTCGTCTAGCATATGAATCTCCGTCGTTTTGAACCAAATAATCATTCCGATGGGCAACTCTACTTTTAGATCAACTACTTACAAACTTTTCTAGAAACTGTCAAACGAACCATATGAGTGATCCGGTAACTATCAGAAGTTTAGTTTGGTTGTCTTACCAATACACACCATTCCAACATAGTTATAAAACGGCTGTATAGTAGTGTGACTTACTAGGAGGACTGGACAGTAATCTAAAAATGGATAGCCTCCATATTTTTCCTTTTCAATGTCAGTAAAAGCAAACGAATCATCCGCATACTGATTACTTTCATTTAATTGATTTTCGTGTTTACACAGCGCGCAAGTACCAATCCCATTTTCATAACTGTCGCATTTTTGTTCAAAGGGAATATCACAGTAGGGCTGAATATTTTGTCCTCTAAGAAGAGAATAATTTGATTTGTCATGAGATGAAAAGTATTTAATAAAGTCAACAATAATTAACAAATGCTCACGATTTCATTTAGATGAAGCACGAGTATCGACGAATTATTATGTATAGTTTGATGCAATATATACATCCTTGCATCGCTATTCACTCACACTGATCTTCGAGAATTTGGCTTTGAACTTCAATGTGTAATTCACCGGGATTCCGAATCCGGACAGACACTAGCGTGCTGATTATGTATGATGTTTGTTGTAATACCTACTAACGAAGATATGTAAAAGCTCAGGTGAAACATCAATGAAGGGAGAAAACAGATATTTGTAGCGACCTACTATACATAACGAGAACGCCGTTAGTATTATGGAAAAAATTATTATTATAAACAATTGTACCTGTAATTGTTTTACAGTACTATTTTGTTCACTCGTAATAAAAACACTTTTCATTCCATTGTCGATCTTGTTCGAGCAAACCCTCTTACGCTCTGCCATTTAGCCTGTGCTCTTTGGCACGTCCCCGTACTCTTTCGACACCAAGAGATCGCCAATAAATATATCTTACCTGAACCAATAACAGCTATCTGGTTTTCGTCCTATCGAAAGATCCAAGTCATCATCTGTCACGTAATCTTATCGTAGTGGTGATCAAAGTCGATGGCGACTCCATCCCATCTGCATATTTTTGAAAACGGTTATATCTAATGAAAATAAACGCTTCAATATTGTTGTTGGGATGATACTACTAGTTTCTCGCAATAGACATGACAAGCTCAGGAAACATTAAGAAGCATTTTATCCATTCAGCGTTTGATCAGAAGTCTTGCTAGAAATATTGCGAAAACGAAAATTCACATGTACAGCTTCCGACTGGCTGATTACTACACTGCTATTATGTTTAGTAGTATTCTAGAATTTCCAGTAAAACCAAAGTACTTCTAAAATATTATAAAGACCCGGTATTTTCTGTGCATAAATGAACCTTGGGAGTAATTTGCTTACCACATATTTTGTGCCTTTTCTCTCATGTTGAAATTGCTGTGTAGATGTAGCTTGGGGGTTACGAGACTAGCTTAGGATCCGAATATAGCGTTCAATCAACATGACTCATCAATTCTATATAGTTCCATGAAAATCCATACTTTTCTCGCAACATTTTTTAGTACATATTTATTCTCGTCAAGATCACTGAGATTTTATTGTTTCAACTGTGCATTCAAATTAAGTGTATTATCTAGATAACTGCTCTACAAACTGAATCTTTTCTGAATTGAATATTTTCAAGGTAAAATAAGTGATGAATTTTGTCTATAAAATGTAACAAATCAGCAACGTTTTTGGCTGACTTGCGGATTATGATTCCTGGAATGTGTCTGTTGAAAAAAGTTGTAACGTGACTAATGACGAGATCGAAATAATGTACCCTCCACATGAATCAATTGTTAATCATACTTGTGGAGTGTTAAGAGAGATAACTTCTCACTACTCAGCATAAATATATAATAGGTCAAGGGAAAATTTACAATGTGTCTATTTTACCTGCTTCTTCTCTACTTGATGTATTCATAACAGTTCTTCAACACGAAATCACAACTCAAGACTTTTCCCCATTTGAAATCATCGGCGATCGAATAGTCCACTTCATACATGCTTTGAGGAGTAAAGTATATTACATAAGAACGTGATTAGAAAGGAGTGCGGTGTGATGATATTTGCATATTGATTTCTTTTTTGAAGTCAGTTTGATATACTTTGAAATTGTGTATACTTGTTGTGAGGTCAGAGGACGTGAAGACTGCATTTGTGAATGGTGTAGACTACTTACATCCTACATCAAATGTATATGGTAGGCTAGATTCAATGAGTTTGATCAATTGTTGTGTAACTTGGCATGACTAACCAACACGTCTGAATTTCAAACTTGAAAGGCATTCAGTAAACATTGTTCGAATATGAAAGTATTTATTGGTGGAATCGCGTTTGAAACCAAAATATGTCTTCGAAGAATGAAAATGGATACCAGCTAGGAAAATTTTCCTTTTCACTACTCGACCTTCTGAAACTATACAACCGTGTTTGTGTCTAACTTCTGTAAACAGAAGTCTCAATTAAAATAAATGATTGCTTCGTCAACTAAACACGTACTGAGGGATACTTCAATTACCAAGACTTCAAATATTATGTACCTTTCAATTAATGCAAGAATTTTTCCCTGTGAACGACCATTAATTCTTCACCGGAGCATTCCAAACTTAGAGTACGAAAGCAATGAATTATTTATCCGAATATTCGTCAGTATTGGAACGAATAGTTTGACAAAAGTTGAACGCCGATTGTAGAGAAGCCATAATATCTAATGATTATAATCGAAGTGATCTCAGCGTTTGAAATTTAGATCACTTCAACGTTTAATAATTATTTCATATCGCTGTTCATTTAGCCATTGTCCGGAGAGACACTTTTTAGTTTATATTGTTACGTTGTTGTTATTATCTCAGATACGTCTGCTACATGCAGTGCTTGATGTACCAAATCCTGAGTAGACACAACGACCACCACCAAAGTTGCTCTTTGCGTCTTAACTAAGACAGAAACACCAAGGAAGCTGTGTCTCCAAATCTGATTCAATACCGCAAACTTCAAGGTGCCCACAGAACCCTAGGCGGTTGTTAAAATTAGGTCGATTATATGAAGAGATGTATATAGGGTTGAATTCCTGAATGTTTGATCTAGTTCTTAGAAACGATCGTAGTCTTGCAAGTGTTCATCGAAATCGATTGTAGAAACAATCACAAAAATCTACATTAGGTGCAAGTTGGAATGTGTTCAGTTTTATCGTAGCTCTAAATGTTTATCAGCATTTATTCTTGTCTTAATGGAAAGAAGGTTAATATCACAATCTTCGTCGACCAAGCAATTATGTGAATATTTTCAAACCTACAACGTTCACATTCCACTTCTGATCACTTTTTATTGAGACACTGAAAAATTTTGCTTACAATTCATGTTCCCATAGATGACTTATCATGTATAAGTGAATTGTCCCACATAGACTCATAGGATTTATCAAGATCACAAAGGACATATCATTTTTTTCACAGTATTGTATGTCAACATGTCTAATTCGTTTCACACTGCAAAATCACTGATGAAATTCAGTCAACAGCTAGGAATCGCTCACTATTGCACATTCTTAAATTCAAATTTAAGTGTAGATTTTTGTGATAAATGAATTTACGGTAAGCGATTTATTTCGCATTCACACACAGTTTATATTGATTCATTATCCAACGAGGATCGGTACAGGAGGAAATAAGGTGTACTAATACGTCTTATCTACCTAAAGTTAAATCCGGTAAGTTTCATGTGAAAGTTGTCATGTTTATCAGGATTTATTAAATCTTTGATTTCAACATAAAACACTTACTTTATATCTTCGAAATAAGCCAGAGTTATTCTTGAAACACAACTTGACTCCAATTGATAAGGTGTCATCAAATCATTCTGGTTGAAGTGAGTTAACATGAAAACATTAGGAATCAATTGGTATGAAACTTGCATGATCATGGTTCTTTCAAATTACAACTTCAACCCGACTACTAACACTGATGGTCAAATTTTATTTTGAATATCTGCTATTTCTTGCAAATCTGTCATTGTATTGGTAATACATCCGTTTACAAAATGTGTACGCTTATACGTATATGTGGATTGGTTGAAGTTAAACATCAAAACTGTTGGATACGAGTTTAGTGGTCTGGAGTTTAAGTGGAGGAGTCTCACATTAAGACGAGTCGGCCGTCCAATTCTTCCAGGTTTCTATGGTTGTCTAGCTTCCATTGACTAAGGAATTCAACTATAAAATTACTGAAATCTCCACAAAACGTCCTCTGATACCTATATGTGTTCCTTTCAGTACGAAAGCTTTGTGGATGTTGACGCTATTCCATTATATTTTGGAAAGAAACTGCATTGACACGCCTCCTAAATATTTTACGCTGTTCATTCTCTGTTGTATTTATAGATACCAGAGTTGGATTTACGCTGACTTGATAACACAGAATTGCCTTGAATAAATTCTAGGTTGGGAACATTTCTCATTTCATGATGCTTTGCTATCGACTTGTGATATTTGATTTATGTAATGATAAATCGTCCATATTGAAAATTTTAACTTTGTTGCAAACAATCCGTGAAGTGATAAGTCATTTAATTAAACGCCAGGTTTGGTTCACTAGTAACCCTTAGGCTAAATCTACACAAAGACTTGAACAGGTACAGAAAAGGAGCGTAATATAGAAGAAACAATTGACTCTAAATATTCCATTACATACACAAAATTCAGGGTTTTAGTAATATTTTAGATGGCCTTGAGTCTCCGGAAAATTCTGGAATGCTACCGAACATAGTGGCAGTATAGATAATCATCCAATCAGAAACTCGACATGTAACTTTTCATTTTCCAAATATTTTGTGCAGACATTCTAATGAATGCCGATCGAATAAGATGTTTCTCGGTGTTTTCAGAGCACTTCTTGGCTTTTCCTTTCGAGGGGTTTTATGGACCGCCCGAACACCTTCCTCGTTTCAAAAATAAGACCTATCGACTCTATCGTAGTGACAGAGAAACTAAGCGAGGAGGCGGTTGTCTTATATTTGCTTTGGATACCTTAACAACTAACAAAGTTGAAGGGAGTATCTTGAATAGTTTACCATAATCGATCTGGATATCAATCAATACCCTAAACCATAGTCTACTACTAGGTTGTATATATAGAGCTCCTGATAGTACTGATAATTTGAATGATCATATTATCAATGCATTTATACACGCATCTACTCTAAACTTCAGTGCTAAGATTATCACTGGTGATTTCATATATTACTTAAATCTCAATGACTGCAATACCTCAAAGAATAAAAAATAAAACTATTTATAACAATCATCTTCACGTATCAGTGTGTGGAAGACCATACAAATACATACACCTCTTATTTAAAATAAATACTGAGGAACCAGTGTAACAGTATGCTCGCGGATCACATCTAATAACCCTATTCGTCTAGCATATGAATCTCCGTCGTTTTGAACCAAATAATCATTCCGATGGGCAACTCTACTTTTAGACCAACTGAATTTTAATATGAAACATTCAAACTCCATCAATATAAGTTATCGAATTTTTAAAATAGAACTTACTTTATGACACATTGGTGTTTTTTTAGCAGGGTATAATTTTGATCCGCTAACGTATTTAAATGTTTTGGCAATAAAACATGCTGAATCAGTACCCCTATAATCCAGAATTGCGTATGGTGGTGAATCTGTAGAAAATCAATAAATAGTTAAACACATCTATATTGATTAAATGTCACAGTAAATTTATAGAAGTAAAATTTGTTTTAACGCCATAGATTAACATTCTACTGGTGTATACATTCCGATAAGATGAGATTTGGCTTTAGTGTATGAAGTCAACATGCTTTCATAGTACAATCACACAATCCATCTTTTTTTCTTTATATGCAACTTCTGGCTTAGGGGTTATCTTTCTAAATGAAAATATGACAAGTCTGTTGACATATGTCGTTTTTCAAGGTAATACATGATGATTATCAAGATATTCTAGTTGTTATCAGTTGAAGGAATGCAAGTATAATTTAGCTAGACAATTTCCTACACATTATGAGAGTGAATATAGAATACATTTTGACTTATCCTGTACAAGTGTTATACGTTTATTATTGTTTCAACATGATATATAAACATGCATATTTAAATACAAATATGTTTTAATTAACAAGTGAAACAGGTGAATAGACTAAATATGTTTGTTAACGAACCTGGTTCTAAACCGCTTTCCTTCTCGCTTAAGGTGATTTAACTTCATTATGTGGAAGAACGTAAATCGAGTATTTTTAAGTGCAAAAATATAGTGTTTCTGAAATGTTGGAGAACAATTGTAGCTCAGGTGGATGATTCTGGGCTCTAAGCTGGATTGTTTGGTAGTGGAGCTTTCATCGTCCCTCTGAACGACATCATCACCGCAAACGTTCACAGACGTCTACCCGACATTTGTGCTGATGATGTTATTCAGAAAGATGATAAAAGCTGCACCACTGAATTACTCATCACAGAGAACAAAACTTCATTGAAAAAATGTGTAAATTATCAAAAAATCACCCTTGGCACAACAAGATTTGATGTATGTTACTGAATGATTTGGAATAGGATTACAGCGACGATATTGAATGCTGATTCCATAAGAAACCATTATTAAGATAATCAGTGTTTTATAATTATTAATATTATGAATATGTGTTAAGTTATATCTCTGTAATTCAATGAACAACTATTCTCTTGATTTCTTTACAAGTATCAGGAACAACTAACTACTTTTCATAAAATGACAGATCCGATGATTATAAAAGTAATTCATTTAGATATTGTTGCACATATTACTTAAATCTCAATGACTGCAATACCTCAAAGAATAAAAAATAAAACTATTTATAACAAACATCTTCACGTATCAGTGTGTGAAAGACCATACAAATATATACACCTCTTATTTAAAATAAATACTGAGGAACCAGTGTAACAGTATGCTCGCGGATCACATCTAATAACCCTATTCGTCTAGCATATGAATCTCCGTCGTTTTGAACCAAATAATCATTCCGATGGGCAACTCTACTTTTAGATCAACTACTTACAAACTTTTCTAGAAACTGTCAAACGAACCATATGAGTGATCCGGTAACTATCAGAAGTTTAGTTTGGTTGTCTTACCAATACACACCATTCCAACATAGTTATAAAACGGCTGTATAGTAGTGTGACTTACTAGGAGGACTGGACAGTAATCTAAAAATGGATAGCCTCCATATTTTTCCTTTTCAATGTCAGTAAAAGCAAACGAATCATCCGCATACTGATTACTTTCATTTAATTGATTTTCGTGTTTACACAGCGCGCAAGTACCAATCCCATTTTCATAACTGTCGCATTTTTGTTCAAAGGGAATATCACAGTAGGGCTGAATATTTTGTCCTCTAAGAAGAGAATAATTTGATTTGTCATGAGATGAAAAGTATTTAATAAAGTCAACAATAATTAACAAATGCTCACGATTTCATTTAGATGAAGCACGAGTATCGACGAATTATTATGTATAGTTTGATGCAATATATACATCCTTGCATCGCTATTCACTCACACTGATCTTCGAGAATTTGGCTTTGAACTTCAATGTGTAATTCACCGGGATTCCGAATCCGGACAGACACTAGCGTGCTGATTATGTATGATGTTTGTTGTAATACCTACTAACGAAGATATGTAAAAGCTCAGGTGAAACATCAATGAAGGGAGAAAACAGATATTTGTAGCGACCTACTATACATAACGAGAACGCCGTTAGTATTATGGAAAAAATTATTATTATAAACAATTGTACCTGTAATTGTTTTACAGTACTATTTTGTTCACTCGTAATAAAAACACTTTTCATTCCATTGTCGATCTTGTTCGAGCAAACCCTCTTACGCTCTGCCATTTAGCCTGTGCTCTTTGGCACGTCCCCGTACTCTTTCGACACCAAGAGATCGCCAATAAATATATCTTACCTGAACCAATAACAGCTATCTGGTTTTCGTCCTATCGAAAGATCCAAGTCATCATCTGTCACGTAATCTTATCGTAGTGGTGATCAAAGTCGATGGCGACTCCATCCCATCTGCATATTTTTGAAAACGGTTATATCTAATGAAAATAAACGCTTCAATATTGTTGTTGGGATGATACTACTAGTTTCTCGCAATAGACATGACAAGCTCAGGAAACATTAAGAAGCATTTTATCCATTCAGCGTTTGATCAGAAGTCTTGCTAGAAATATTGCGAAAACGAAAATTCACATGTACAGCTTCCGACTGGCTGATTACTACACTGCTATTATGTTTAGTAGTATTCTAGAATTTCCAGTAAAACCAAAGTACTTCTAAAATATTATAAAGACCCGGTATTTTCTGTGCATAAATGAACCTTGGGAGTAATTTGCTTACCACATATTTTGTGCCTTTTCTCTCATGTTGAAATTGCTGTGTAGATGTAGCTTGGGGGTTACGAGACTAGCTTAGGATCCGAATATAGCGTTCAATCAACATGACTCATCAATTCTATATAGTTCCATGAAAATCCATACTTTTCTCGCAACATTTTTTAGTACATATTTATTCTCGTCAAGATCACTGAGATTTTATTGTTTCAACTGTGCATTCAAATTAAGTGTATTATCTAGATAACTGCTCTACAAACTGAATCTTTTCTGAGTTGGGAATATTTCTCTTTTCATGATGCTTTGCTATCGACTTGTGATATTTGATTTATGTAATGATAAATCGTCCATATTGAAAATTTTAACTTTGTTGCAAACAATCCGTGAAGTGATAAGTCATTTAATTAAACGCCAGGTTTGGTTCACTAGTAACCCTTAGGCTAAATCTACACAAAGACTTGAACAGGTACAGAAAAGGAGCGTAATATAGAAGAAACAATTGACTCTAAATATTCCATTACATACACAAAATTCAGGGTTTTAGTAATATTTTAGATGGCCTTGAGTCTCCGGAAAATTCTGGAATGCTACCGAACATAGTGGCAGTATAGATAATCATCCAATCAGAAACTCGACATGTAACTTTTCATTTTCCAAATATTTTGTGCAGACATTCTAATGAATGCCGATCGAATAAGATGTTTCTCGGTGTTTTCAGAGCACTTCTTGGCTTTTCCTTTCGAGGGGTTTTATGGACCGCCCGAACACCTTCCTCGTTTCAAAAATAAGACCTATCGACTCTATCGTAGTGACAGAGAAACTAAGCGAGGAGGCGGTTGTCTTATATTTGCTTTGGATACCTTAACAACTAACAAAGTTGAAGGGAGTATCTTGAATAGTTTACCATAATCGATCTGGATATCAATCAATACCCTAAACCATAGTCTACTACTAGGTTGTATATATAGAGCTCCTGATAGTACTGATAATTTGAATGATCATATTATCAATGCATTTATACACGCATCTACTCTAAACTTCAGTGCTAAGATTATCACTGGTGATTTCAATTATCCTGGGATTAACTGGAGTACCGATAGTTGTCCGTCTAGCAATGATAAGTTTTTGTCAATCCTTAATCTGTACTGCTGGTCACAGTGTGTTCGTACCCCAACAAGGGGTGATAAGACACTTGATATAATATTTAGAAGAGATATCATTCACCTATCTGTACAAGTATACAACGAGTTTGAAAGCAGTGATCATAGGAGAGTAGCTTGTGCTCTCCCCATCTATCCCTCTTACAACCGACCAATTCAAAGAACCTGCAATTATAGAGACTATAAGCATGCAGACTGGGACCTCTTGCGCTCACTGATCAAACTCTCAGACTGGGATGAATTCTTCTTATGTAATAGTCTGACAGATGCCATCAACAAATTCCATTTGATTGTTAACTCTTGTCTAGACTCCTGTGCACCAATTAAGACCTACAATTTAAGTAAACCAAACGAATTTTATATAACAGCTAAATATCGTAGAGAACTAAGACGCCTAAAGAAACGTTTTTTAAAATGCAACGACTTCACGACAGTCACTCAAATAACAATAATTTTTAACCAAATTTAAGAGAAACAATGGTTAAAAGCCATCAATAAAGAGCTATTAGTACTACGTACTAGGAAATAGGCGTATTACATTTGTCCATAAATGGACTTCAGATTTATGATTCATAATTTACAAGGGGATATAACAGTCATTGAACAGTATTTTGTGCGAATATTACACTTCGAAATGATTTGAGTTTTATTTCTCCTTGATACCTTCGTTGGTCATCACCAACTGAATTTTAATATGAAACATTCAAACTCCATCAATATAAGTTATCGAATTTTTAAAATAGAACTTACTTTATGACACATTGGTGTTTTTTTAGCAGGGTATAATTTTGATCCGCTAACGTATTTAAATGTTTTGGCAATAAAACATGCTGAATCAGTACCCCTATAATCCAGAATTGCGTATGGTGGTGAATCTGTAGAAAATCAATAAATAGTTAAACACATCTATATTGATTAAATGTCACAGTAAATTTATAGAAGTAAAATTTGTTTTAACGCCATAGATTAACATTCTACTGGTGTATACATTCCGATAAGATGAGATTTGGCTTTAGTGTATGAAGTCAACATGCTTTCATAGTACAATCACACAATCCATCTTTTTTTCTTTATATGCAACTTCTGGCTTAGGGGTTATCTTTCTAAATGAAAATATGACAAGTCTGTTGACATATGTCGTTTTTCAAGGTAATACATGATGATTATCAAGATATTCTAGTTGTTATCAGTTGAAGGAATGCAAGTATAATTTAGCTAGACAATTTCCTACACATTATGAGAGTGAATATAGAATACATTTTGACTTATCCTGTACAAGTGTTATACGTTTATTATTGTTTCAACATGATATATAAACATGCATATTTAAATACAAATATGTTTTAATTAACAAGTGAAACAGGTGAATAGACTAAATATGTTTGTTAACGAACCTGGTTCTAAACCGCTTTCCTTCTCGCTTAAGGTGATTTAACTTCATTATGTGGAAGAACGTAAATCGAGTATTTTTAAGTGCAAAAATATAGTGTTTCTGAAATGTTGGAGAACAATTGTAGCTCAGGTGGATGATTCTGGGCTCTAAGCTGGATTGTTTGGTAGTGGAGCTTTCATCGTCCCTCTGAACGACATCATCACCGCAAACGTTCACAGACGTCTACCCGACATTTGTGCTGATGATGTTATTCAGAAAGATGATAAAAGCTGCACCACTGAATTACTCATCACAGAGAACAAAACTTCATTGAAAAAATGTGTAAATTATCAAAAAATCACCCTTGGCACAACAAGATTTGATGTATGTTACTGAATGATTTGGAATAGGATTACAGCGACGATATTGAATGCTGATTCCATAAGAAACCATTATTAAGATAATCAGTGTTTTATAATTATTAATATTATGAATATGTGTTAAGTTATATCTCTGTAATTCAATGAACAACTATTCTCTTGATTTCTTTACAAGTATCAGGAACAACTAACTACTTTTCATAAAATGACAGATCCGATGATTATAAAAGTAATTCATTTAGATATTGTTGCACATATTACTTAAATCTCAATGACTGCAATACCTCAAAGAATAAAAAATAAAACTATTTATAACAAACATCTTCACGTATCAGTGTGTGAAAGACCATACAAATATATACACCTCTTATTTAAAATAAATACTGAGGAACCAGTGTAACAGTATGCTCGCGGATCACATCTAATAACCCTATTCGTCTAGCATATGAATCTCCGTCGTTTTGAACCAAATAATCATTCCGATGGGCAACTCTACTTTTAGATCAACTACTTACAAACTTTTCTAGAAACTGTCAAACGAACCATATGAGTGATCCGGTAACTATCAGAAGTTTAGTTTGGTTGTCTTACCAATACACACCATTCCAACATAGTTATAAAACGGCTGTATAGTAGTGTGACTTACTAGGAGGACTGGACAGTAATCTAAAAATGGATAGCCTCCATATTTTTCCTTTTCAATGTCAGTAAAAGCAAACGAATCATCCGCATACTGATTACTTTCATTTAATTGATTTTCGTGTTTACACAGCGCGCAAGTACCAATCCCATTTTCATAACTGTCGCATTTTTGTTCAAAGGGAATATCACAGTAGGGCTGAATATTTTGTCCTCTAAGAAGAGAATAATTTGATTTGTCATGAGATGAAAAGTATTTAATAAAGTCAACAATAATTAACAAATGCTCACGATTTCATTTAGATGAAGCACGAGTATCGACGAATTATTATGTATAGTTTGATGCAATATATACATCCTTGTATCGCTATTCACTCACACTGATCTTCGAGAATTTGGCTTTGAACTTCAATGTGTAATTCACCGGGATTCCGAATCCGGACAGACACTAGCGTGCTGATTATGTATGATGTTTGTTGTAATACCTACTAACGAAGATATGTAAAAGCTCAGGTGAAACATCAATGAAGGGAGAAAACAGATATTTGTAGTGACCTACTATACATAACGAGAACGCCGTTAGTATTATGGAAAAAATTATTATTATAATCAATTGTACCTGTAATTGTTTTACAGTACTATTTTGTTCACTCGTAATAAAAACACTTTTCATTCCATTGTCGATCTTGTTCGAGCAAACCCTCTTACGCTCTGCCATTTAGCCTGTGCTCTTTGGCACGTCCCCGTACTCTTTCGACACCAAGAGATCGCCAATAAATATATCTTACCTGAACCAATAACAGCTATCTGGATTTCGTCCTATCGAAAGATCCAAGTCATCATCTGTCACGTAATCTTATCGTAGTGGTGATCAAAGTCGATGGCGACTCCATCCCATCTGCATATTTTTGAAAACGGTTATATCTAATGAAAATAAACGCTTCAATATTGTTGTTGGGATGATACTACTAGTTTCTCGCAATAGACATGACAAGCTCAGGAAACATTAAGAAGCATTTTATCCATTCAGCGTTTGATCAGAAGTCTTGCTAGAAATATTGCGAAAAACGAAAATTCACATGTACAGCTTCTGACTGGCTGATTACTACACTGCTATTATGTTTAGTAGTATTCTAGAATTTCCAGTAAAACCAAAGTACTTCTAAAATATTATAAAGACCCGGTATTTTCTGTGCATAAATGAACCTTGGGAGTAATTTGCTTACCACATATTTTGTGCCTTTTCTCTCATGTTGAAATTGCTGTGTAGATGTAGCTTGGGGGTTACGAGACTAGCTTAGGATCCGAATATAGCGTTCAATCAACATGACTCATCAATTCTATATAGTTCCATGAAAATCCATACTTTTCTCGCAACATTTTTTAGTACATATTTATTCTCGTCAAGATCACTGAGATTTTATTGTTTCAACTGTGCATTCAAATTAAGTGTATTATCTAGATAACTGCTCTACAAACTGAATCTTTTCTGAATTGAATATTTTCAAGGTAAAATAAGTGATGAATTTTGTCTATAAAATGTAACAAATCAGCAACGTTTTTGGCTGACTTGCGGATTATGATTCCTGGAATGTGTCTGTTGAAAAAAGTTGTAACGTGACTAATGACGAGATCGAAATAATGTACCCTCCACATGAATCAATTGTTAATCATACTTGTGGAGTGTTAAGAGAGATAACTTCTCACTACTCAGCATAAATATATAATAGGTCAAGGGAAAATTTACAATGTGTCTATTTTACCTGCTTCTTCTCTACTTGATGTATTCATAACAGTTCTTCAACACGAAATCACAACTCAAGACTTTTCCCCATTTGAAATCATCGGCGATCGAATAGTCCACTTCATACATGCTTTGAGGAGTAAAGTATATTACATAAGAACGTGATTAGAAAGGAGTGCGGTGTGATGATATTTGCATATTGATTTCTTTTTTGAAGTCAGTTTGATATACTTTGAAATTGTGTATACTTGTTGTGAGGTCAGAGGACGTGAAGACTGCATTTGTGAATGGTGTAGACTACTTACATCCTACATCAAATGTATATGGTAGGCTAGATTCAATGAGTTTGATCAATTGTTGTGTAACTTGGCATGACTAACCAACACGTCTGAATTTCAAACTTGAAAGGCATTCAGTAAACATTGTTCGAATATGAAAGTATTTATTGGTGGAATCGCGTTTGAAACCAAAATATGTCTTCGAAGAATGAAAATGGATACCAGCTAGGAAAATTTTCCTTTTCACTACTCGACCTTCTGAAACTATACAACCGTGTTTGTGTCTAACTTCTGTAAACAGAAGTCTCAATTAAAATAAATGATTGCTTCGTCAACTAAACACGTACTGAGGGATACTTCAATTACCAAGACTTCAAATATTATGTACCTTTCAATTAATGCAAGAATTTTTCCCTGTGAACGACCATTAATTCTTCACCGGAGCATTCCAAACTTAGAGTACGAAAGCAATGAATTATTTATCCGAATATTCGTCAGTATTGGAACGAATAGTTTGACAAAAGTTGAACGCCGATTGTAGAGAAGCCATAATATCTAATGATTATAATCGAAGTGATCTCAGCGTTTGAAATTTAGATCACTTCAACGTTTAATAATTATTTCATATCGCTGTTCATTTAGCCATTGTCCGGAGAGACACTTTTTAGTTTATATTGTTACGTTGTTGTTATTATCTCAGATACGTCTGCTACATGCAGTGCTTGATGTACCAAATCCTGAGTAGACACAACGACCACCACCAAAGTTGCTCTTTGCGTCTTAACTAAGACAGAAACACCAAGGAAGCTGTGTCTCCAAATCTGATTCAATACCGCAAACTTCAAGGTGCCCACAGAACCCTAGGCGGTTGTTAAAATTAGGTCGATTATATGAAGAGATGTATATAGGGTTGAATTCCTGAATGTTTGATCTAGTTCTTAGAAACGATCGTAGTCTTGCAAGTGTTCATCGAAATCGATTGTAGAAACAATCACAAAAATCTACATTAGGTGCAAGTTGGAATGTGTTCAGTTTTATCGTAGCTCTAAATGTTTATCAGCATTTATTCTTGTCTTAATGGAAAGAAGGTTAATATCACAATCTTCGTCGACCAAGCAATTATGTGAATATTTTCAAACCTACAACGTTCACATTCCACTTCTGATCACTTTTTATTGAGACACTGAAAAATTTTGCTTACAATTCATGTTCCCATAGATGACTTATCATGTATAAGTGAATTGTCCCACATAGACTCATAGGATTTATCAAGATCACAAAGGACATATCATTTTTTTCACAGTATTGTATGTCAACATGTCTAATTCGTTTCACACTGCAAAATCACTGATGAAATTCAGTCAACAGCTAGGAATCGCTCACTATTGCACATTCTTAAATTCAAATTTAAGTGTAGATTTTTGTGATAAATGAATTTACGGTAAGCGATTTATTTCGCATTCACACACAGTTTATATTGATTCATTATCCAACGAGGATCGGTACAGGAGGAAATAAGGTGTACTAATACGTCTTATCTACCTAAAGTTAAATCCGGTAAGTTTCATGTGAAAGTTGTCATGTTTATCAGGATTTATTAAATCTTTGATTTCAACATAAAACACTTACTTTATATCTTCGAAATAAGCCAGAGTTATTCTTGAAACACAACTTGACTCCAATTGATAAGGTGTCATCAAATCATTCTGGTTGAAGTGAGTTAACATGAAAACATTAGGAATCAATTGGTATGAAACTTGCATGATCATGGTTCTTTCAAATTACAACTTCAACCCGACTACTAACACTGATGGTCAAATTTTATTTTGAATATCTGCTATTTCTTGCAAATCTGTCATTGTATTGGTAATACATCCGTTTACAAAATGTGTACGCTTATACGTATATGTGGATTGGTTGAAGTTAAACATCAAAACTGTTGGATACGAGTTTAGTGGTCTGGAGTTTAAGTGGAGGAGTCTCACATTAAGACGAGTCGGCCGTCCAATTCTTCCAGGTTTCTATGGTTGTCTAGCTTCCATTGACTAAGGAATTCAACTATAAAATTACTGAAATCTCCACAAAACGTCCTCTGATACCTATATGTGTTCCTTTCAGTACGAAAGCTTTGTGGATGTTGACGCTATTCCATTATATTTTGGAAAGAAACTGCATTGACACGCCTCCTAAATATTTTACGCTGTTCATTCTCTGTTGTATTTATAGATACCAGAGTTGGATTTACGCTGACTTGATAACACAGAATTGCCTTGAATAAATTCTAGGTTGGGAACATTTCTCATTTCATGATGCTTTGCTATCGACTTGTGATATTTGATTTATGTAATGATAAATCGTCCATATTGAAAATTTTAACTTTGTTGCAAACAATCCGTGAAGTGATAAGTCATTTAATTAAACGCCAGGTTTGGTTCACTAGTAACCCTTAGGCTAAATCTACACAAAGACTTGAACAGGTACAGAAAAGGAGCGTAATATAGAAGAAACAATTGACTCTAAATATTCCATTACATACACAAAATTCAGGGTTTTAGTAATATTTTAGATGGCCTTGAGTCTCCGGAAAATTCTGGAATGCTACCGAACATAGTGGCAGTATAGATAATCATCCAATCAGAAACTCGACATGTAACTTTTCATTTTCCAAATATTTTGTGCAGACATTCTAATGAATGCCGATCGAATAAGATGTTTCTCGGTGTTTTCAGAGCACTTCTTGGCTTTTCCTTTCGAGGGGTTTTATGGACCGCCCGAACACCTTCCTCGTTTCAAAAATAAGACCTATCGACTCTATCGTAGTGACAGAGAAACTAAGCGAGGAGGCGGTTGTCTTATATTTGCTTTGGATACCTTAACAACTAACAAAGTTGAAGGGAGTATCTTGAATAGTTTACCATAATCGATCTGGATATCAATCAATACCCTAAACCATAGTCTACTACTAGGTTGTATATATAGAGCTCCTGATAGTACTGATAATTTGAATGATCATATTATCAATGCATTTATACACGCATCTACTCTAAACTTCAGTGCTAAGATTATCACTGGTGATTTCATATATTACTTAAATCTCAATGACTGCAATACCTCAAAGAATAAAAAATAAAACTATTTATAACAATCATCTTCACGTATCAGTGTGTGGAAGACCATACAAATACATACACCTCTTATTTAAAATAAATACTGAGGAACCAGTGTAACAGTATGCTCGCGGATCACATCTAATAACCCTATTCGTCTAGCATATGAATCTCCGTCGTTTTGAACCAAATAATCATTCCGATGGGCAACTCTACTTTTAGACCAACTGAATTTTAATATGAAACATTCAAACTCCATCAATATAAGTTATCGAATTTTTAAAATAGAACTTACTTTATGACACATTGGTGTTTTTTTAGCAGGGTATAATTTTGATCCGCTAACGTATTTAAATGTTTTGGCAATAAAACATGCTGAATCAGTACCCCTATAATCCAGAATTGCGTATGGTGGTGAATCTGTAGAAAATCAATAAATAGTTAAACACATCTATATTGATTAAATGTCACAGTAAATTTATAGAAGTAAAATTTGTTTTAACGCCATAGATTAACATTCTACTGGTGTATACATTCCGATAAGATGAGATTTGGCTTTAGTGTATGAAGTCAACATGCTTTCATAGTACAATCACACAATCCATCTTTTTTTCTTTATATGCAACTTCTGGCTTAGGGGTTATCTTTCTAAATGAAAATATGACAAGTCTGTTGACATATGTCGTTTTTCAAGGTAATACATGATGATTATCAAGATATTCTAGTTGTTATCAGTTGAAGGAATGCAAGTATAATTTAGCTAGACAATTTCCTACACATTATGAGAGTGAATATAGAATACATTTTGACTTATCCTGTACAAGTGTTATACGTTTATTATTGTTTCAACATGATATATAAACATGCATATTTAAATACAAATATGTTTTAATTAACAAGTGAAACAGGTGAATAGACTAAATATGTTTGTTAACGAACCTGGTTCTAAACCGCTTTCCTTCTCGCTTAAGGTGATTTAACTTCATTATGTGGAAGAACGTAAATCGAGTATTTTTAAGTGCAAAAATATAGTGTTTCTGAAATGTTGGAGAACAATTGTAGCTCAGGTGGATGATTCTGGGCTCTAAGCTGGATTGTTTGGTAGTGGAGCTTTCATCGTCCCTCTGAACGACATCATCACCGCAAACGTTCACAGACGTCTACCCGACATTTGTGCTGATGATGTTATTCAGAAAGATGATAAAAGCTGCACCACTGAATTACTCATCACAGAGAACAAAACTTCATTGAAAAAATGTGTAAATTATCAAAAAATCACCCTTGGCACAACAAGATTTGATGTATGTTACTGAATGATTTGGAATAGGATTACAGCGACGATATTGAATGCTGATTCCATAAGAAACCATTATTAAGATAATCAGTGTTTTATAATTATTAATATTATGAATATGTGTTAAGTTATATCTCTGTAATTCAATGAACAACTATTCTCTTGATTTCTTTACAAGTATCAGGAACAACTAACTACTTTTCATAAAATGACAGATCCGATGATTATAAAAGTAATTCATTTAGATATTGTTGCACATATTACTTAAATCTCAATGACTGCAATACCTCAAAGAATAAAAAATAAAACTATTTATAACAAACATCTTCACGTATCAGTGTGTGAAAGACCATACAAATATATACACCTCTTATTTAAAATAAATACTGAGGAACCAGTGTAACAGTATGCTCGCGGATCACATCTAATAACCCTATTCGTCTAGCATATGAATCTCCGTCGTTTTGAACCAAATAATCATTCCGATGGGCAACTCTACTTTTAGATCAACTACTTACAAACTTTTCTAGAAACTGTCAAACGAACCATATGAGTGATCCGGTAACTATCAGAAGTTTAGTTTGGTTGTCTTACCAATACACACCATTCCAACATAGTTATAAAACGGCTGTATAGTAGTGTGACTTACTAGGAGGACTGGACAGTAATCTAAAAATGGATAGCCTCCATATTTTTCCTTTTCAATGTCAGTAAAAGCAAACGAATCATCCGCATACTGATTACTTTCATTTAATTGATTTTCGTGTTTACACAGCGCGCAAGTACCAATCCCATTTTCATAACTGTCGCATTTTTGTTCAAAGGGAATATCACAGTAGGGCTGAATATTTTGTCCTCTAAGAAGAGAATAATTTGATTTGTCATGAGATGAAAAGTATTTAATAAAGTCAACAATAATTAACAAATGCTCACGATTTCATTTAGATGAAGCACGAGTATCGACGAATTATTATGTATAGTTTGATGCAATATATACATCCTTGCATCGCTATTCACTCACACTGATCTTCGAGAATTTGGCTTTGAACTTCAATGTGTAATTCACCGGGATTCCGAATCCGGACAGACACTAGCGTGCTGATTATGTATGATGTTTGTTGTAATACCTACTAACGAAGATATGTAAAAGCTCAGGTGAAACATCAATGAAGGGAGAAAACAGATATTTGTAGCGACCTACTATACATAACGAGAACGCCGTTAGTATTATGGAAAAAATTATTATTATAAACAATTGTACCTGTAATTGTTTTACAGTACTATTTTGTTCACTCGTAATAAAAACACTTTTCATTCCATTGTCGATCTTGTTCGAGCAAACCCTCTTACGCTCTGCCATTTAGCCTGTGCTCTTTGGCACGTCCCCGTACTCTTTCGACACCAAGAGATCGCCAATAAATATATCTTACCTGAACCAATAACAGCTATCTGGTTTTCGTCCTATCGAAAGATCCAAGTCATCATCTGTCACGTAATCTTATCGTAGTGGTGATCAAAGTCGATGGCGACTCCATCCCATCTGCATATTTTTGAAAACGGTTATATCTAATGAAAATAAACGCTTCAATATTGTTGTTGGGATGATACTACTAGTTTCTCGCAATAGACATGACAAGCTCAGGAAACATTAAGAAGCATTTTATCCATTCAGCGTTTGATCAGAAGTCTTGCTAGAAATATTGCGAAAACGAAAATTCACATGTACAGCTTCCGACTGGCTGATTACTACACTGCTATTATGTTTAGTAGTATTCTAGAATTTCCAGTAAAACCAAAGTACTTCTAAAATATTATAAAGACCCGGTATTTTCTGTGCATAAATGAACCTTGGGAGTAATTTGCTTACCACATATTTTGTGCCTTTTCTCTCATGTTGAAATTGCTGTGTAGATGTAGCTTGGGGGTTACGAGACTAGCTTAGGATCCGAATATAGCGTTCAATCAACATGACTCATCAATTCTATATAGTTCCATGAAAATCCATACTTTTCTCGCAACATTTTTTAGTACATATTTATTCTCGTCAAGATCACTGAGATTTTATTGTTTCAACTGTGCATTCAAATTAAGTGTATTATCTAGATAACTGCTCTACAAACTGAATCTTTTCTGAGTTGGGAATATTTCTCTTTTCATGATGCTTTGCTATCGACTTGTGATATTTGATTTATGTAATGATAAATCGTCCATATTGAAAATTTTAACTTTGTTGCAAACAATCCGTGAAGTGATAAGTCATTTAATTAAACGCCAGGTTTGGTTCACTAGTAACCCTTAGGCTAAATCTACACAAAGACTTGAACAGGTACAGAAAAGGAGCGTAATATAGAAGAAACAATTGACTCTAAATATTCCATTACATACACAAAATTCAGGGTTTTAGTAATATTTTAGATGGCCTTGAGTCTCCGGAAAATTCTGGAATGCTACCGAACATAGTGGCAGTATAGATAATCATCCAATCAGAAACTCGACATGTAACTTTTCATTTTCCAAATATTTTGTGCAGACATTCTAATGAATGCCGATCGAATAAGATGTTTCTCGGTGTTTTCAGAGCACTTCTTGGCTTTTCCTTTCGAGGGGTTTTATGGACCGCCCGAACACCTTCCTCGTTTCAAAAATAAGACCTATCGACTCTATCGTAGTGACAGAGAAACTAAGCGAGGAGGCGGTTGTCTTATATTTGCTTTGGATACCTTAACAACTAACAAAGTTGAAGGGAGTATCTTGAATAGTTTACCATAATCGATCTGGATATCAATCAATACCCTAAACCATAGTCTACTACTAGGTTGTATATATAGAGCTCCTGATAGTACTGATAATTTGAATGATCATATTATCAATGCATTTATACACGCATCTACTCTAAACTTCAGTGCTAAGATTATCACTGGTGATTTCAATTATCCTGGGATTAACTGGAGTACCGATAGTTGTCCGTCTAGCAATGATAAGTTTTTGTCAATCCTTAATCTGTACTGCTGGTCACAGTGTGTTCGTACCCCAACAAGGGGTGATAAGACACTTGATATAATATTTAGAAGAGATATCATTCACCTATCTGTACAAGTATACAACGAGTTTGAAAGCAGTGATCATAGGAGAGTAGCTTGTGCTCTCCCCATCTATCCCTCTTACAACCGACCAATTCAAAGAACCTGCAATTATAGAGACTATAAGCATGCAGACTGGGACCTCTTGCGCTCACTGATCAAACTCTCAGACTGGGATGAATTCTTCTTATGTAATAGTCTGACAGATGCCATCAACAAATTCCATTTGATTGTTAACTCTTGTCTAGACTCCTGTGCACCAATTAAGACCTACAATTTAAGTAAACCAAACGAATTTTATATAACAGCTAAATATCGTAGAGAACTAAGACGCCTAAAGAAACGTTTTTTAAAATGCAACGACTTCACGACAGTCACTCAAATAACAATAATTTTTAACCAAATTTAAGAGAAACAATGGTTAAAAGCCATCAATAAAGAGCTATTAGTACTACGTACTAGGAAATAGGCGTATTACATTTGTCCATAAATGGACTTCAGATTTATGATTCATAATTTACAAGGGGATATAACAGTCATTGAACAGTATTTTGTGCGAATATTACACTTCGAAATGATTTGAGTTTTATTTCTCCTTGATACCTTCGTTGGTCATCACCAACTGAATTTTAATATGAAACATTCAAACTCCATCAATATAAGTTATCGAATTTTTAAAATAGAACTTACTTTATGACACATTGGTGTTTTTTTAGCAGGGTATAATTTTGATCCGCTAACGTATTTAAATGTTTTGGCAATAAAACATGCTGAATCAGTACCCCTATAATCCAGAATTGCGTATGGTGGTGAATCTGTAGAAAATCAATAAATAGTTAAACACATCTATATTGATTAAATGTCACAGTAAATTTATAGAAGTAAAATTTGTTTTAACGCCATAGATTAACATTCTACTGGTGTATACATTCC